CCCAGAGTAGGACCAGGACTGAACTGGCTACATCATCCTCTCTACCCTGAATTCCTATGCTTTTTATTTCCTCTGCAGATGAGGAACAACCATGACAATATCCACATTTTCATATCTCAGTCCTTGGGATTCCTCCATCACCCCCAGACCGAAATCAGGAACGGTGCCGCACGGTTCATGGGTAAATCTCAGGAATCACCTTTTCCACCCTTGAATCACAGCCCCTTCCCCAATTCTTTCCCCCTTGAGCTTCTGTGGTGGGGGGGGGGAGGGGGGGCAGAAGATGAACTGAGGGGCTGCCAGACAGGCAGCACTCTTGAGGTCCCGAGGCCAGGATGAGATGGGGAGAGGTCGGGCCCAGGGAGAACTGAATCAGGACCACTTTCCCAAGGGGGGCAAAGCAGCTTTGAAACAGCTGCTGGAGGGAAAGCCAAGAGGTGGCTGGGGAGGGCAGGGGCCACAGAGGCACACCTTAGTGCAGTGGTCGCCAACTGGTGGTCCACGAGAAAATGTTGGTGGTGCACAAAGAAATGTCTTCCCCAAAGCAATTAATCCAGGCTGCGCGGGAACACGAGGCTGTGCCGGCCACATGGCCCACCCACTCGCTGGCCTTCACCCTTCAGCTGAGTGCAAACCTTACCTTGAGTAGAGCCGCATGAGCTGGAGCTGGAAGGCAAGACCAATGGCGGGGGGAGGAAGAATCCGCCCCGGGGTGGCTTGCTGATGTTAGTGGGAAAGTCGGTCCCATATTCCAGAGCTGCAGGAGTCACAGGACTGGCCCTTTGGTCATCCTGGAGCAGCTCCTCCAGTCCATGGCAGGCCGGTGCACACGGGTGGTGGAGGAGCAGCTGCTCTGGGATGACCAAAGGGCCAGTCCTGTGTCTACTGAAGCTCTGGAATATGGAACTGGCCTTCCCACCAATGTCAGCAAGCCACCATCTGTCAAAATTCATATTAGTGGTCCGCGGGATTTAAAATGATGAGTTTGGCGGTCCCTGAGGTCCAGAAGGTTGGCGACCCCTGCCTTAGTGGACACGTGGCAACAAACAAAGCCCATGTTGGAAGCGGGTCCATGGGCAGCCATGTTGGAATCAGCCTTTCCATAGAGTGTCCTGCTCTGACACAGGAAGCCTGTGGGAAGGCTCAGCGCAACCTTCCACAGCCCACCCACACGCTCCCAGAATGACCGGGCTGAAAAAAGAGATTTCAGCCGCTCTGATCTGCAGCTCAGTGCAGAAAGTCCCCAAACTCCTTTCAGAAGGGTCAGGATTTGTTCCCAACTTGTTCAATAAGCAAAATGAAGCGAAGCAGGGAGTCACAAGGCTTTGTAGATTCACAAGGTTTGGGGCAGTACCAGGCACCCCTTGCCATTGTGCTTTCCTTCTCTTTTAGCAACCCAGCAAGCCAGCAAAGCAGTTCTGTCCGTTTCAGTCTGTATTGCTTGGCCCAAATTATTATTCCCAAGGGGCCTGGTTAGCTTTCGAAACGCCCTCTCCTCTCCGCTGAATGGCCCAGTCACTGGTCAGTGACATCCAGCGGGAGAAACAGGGCAGCTGGGAGAATCCTTGGCCAATCTGTCCCTCTCGAAAGCTTTTCCCCCTTGCTCCTGAGGAGCCAGAGAGCGCCGCCTTGGAACCAAGCAAATGGGAAATATCTCTGCCTGGCACACGCCGATGTCAAGACAGCTCTGCTGGGACAGCCCTGGGGCACAAGGAGGGCGGGAAAGGAGAGAGGAAATTGGGGTTGGCAGGACACAAGTTTGCTGCATTAAAGCGCAAGTGAGGAGCAAGCTTCGGCTTTTACCTTCTCTTCCCGTAACCCTGCCAAGGTGCACGTAGAATGCATGTTTACAGCCCAACCTTCACCCCTTGCCTGAGTCAGCACCCTATTTTTTTTAATAAAGCCCTGGTGCCTGGCATATTTTTGCAAGCCTCGGGGAAGAGGTTATTGAGCCATTCACAAAACAAAGTTCTGAAATTCTTTTTGTTTAGGCTACACGCTCAACTATTACAGCTCAGAACTATCTAAAAACCTGGAACAGGAAGACCTCTCCCACTTGAGCAAAGGTAGGAGAGGAACGGAGGGGCGGTCGCCTGCCTGAGCTAACCTGGAGGCTCCCCCCTTTGCCCAGAGGACCAAGTTTCATGCCCCTCCCACCCACCCACCCCGCACCCTCCCTCTGCAGAAGACCCCTGGGAGGTGGACGCCTGGGGCTGCCTTCTAAATCAGTGGTGGAATTCAAAATATGTTACTACCAGTTCTATGGGCGTGGGCATTATGTGCGCGCGCAGTGTTCTTAAATGGTGCAATTTTAAGCACGAAAACTTACCTTACTGTCAGCGCTGGTGAGTAAAACAGCTGGCAATCTGCTCTGCCGTGCCTATCAGCTGAGCTACAAACAAAGGAAATATAGGATAGGAAAAAGCGGGGATGGGTGAGCAGGGCCAACTGCCGACCGGCGTTACCAGATCGCTAGAACCGGTGCGAACCGGCAGCATATCACCACTGCTCTAAATGCTATCGTCAGGGCTCCGGTAGTTACCCCCATTTAAATCATGAATCATAAATTTAAATCATAAATCATAGCTGAATTTTCAAAACTTAAAAGATTTATTAGGAGTAAATATGCCGGCGCTGCCTGGGTGTAGTCGACTCTGAGACACATCATTCATTGTCACCCTTGGCCCTGGTCTCCCCCCACCCCCTGGGTGTATCATAATTCATATTCTCCAATGGGACACATCCATTACCAAGAGCCATCAATCATACTCTCCAGTTAGAATTTTGCATTGCAGAAACTTCAGTCACCTAGAAACTATCTTTGAAAACATTTATGGAATGCGAGCTGCCCACTGCTCCCCCTTCCCTTTCAGTTGGCAACTCTAAAAAGACCATAGAAATATTTTATGAGTTGAGAGCCACCAGTCTCCCCCATGGTTACGGTCTCCTGCTTCTATGCACTTCAGTCCCTGGCTTACAGCAATAATAGGCTCAGGGATAATGATATAATAATTGACAAAAATATTGAAAATAATTAAGTATATAAAAGATTATAGAAGCCTAGGGTTAGAAGGGATCTTCAGGCAGGACTCTTCAGATCATCCCAGACGAAGGGTGCCCAACCTTTGCTGGGAAACCTCCAATAATGAAGGTGCCCCCAGCCCCCACCAACAGTAGCTCACTCACAGTCAGAAAATTTCTCTACATTTCAAGTTTGGATCTACCTTTCTAAAAAGCCCCGCCTGTGTTGGTTCTTTTGTTAACCAGATTCATCTTCCCTGGAATATTTTTGGGGGTAGTAAGCTATCATAAATATAACATGGTGCAAAAAATATGTTCTTAACTTCCTGAATATTAAGAGGTCCATAAAGCCCCACCCTTGGTGGTATTAGATCTCTGTTTAGATCACCCACATGACACGGTTTGCCAGAGAGGGACGTTCAACTCTGAGCCTTAGAGTTCCTGACATCTTTGCAGATTTGAGCTATATGCCGATATTTTGCTTTGGTTATGTGTCCCTTCTTTTTGTCTCTTCTGTTTACCAGTTCTTAGGCAACTATACTGGTTTCATCCGGCATCTCTTGTTTTTCTTTCTCAATAGTATTATGCTAGACCGGGCTTTTATAAACCCATTATTCAGCTTCCCAAGCTTCTCGCGTTGGTTTCCCCGTTAAGGTTTCCATTCAGGGAAGCTCTAGGTTTGTTGAAATCAGTTCTCTTAAAGTCAAAAAGGCTCATTTGAATTTTGTAGAGTTACTTTGTGGTAAGATGGGGATCCAATAAATTTGATAAATAATAAACGAGTAGTTTAATTCCAATAGAACTTGGTCAGTCTTCCCACAAAGTTCCCACAATTTCAACCTCCTCTATCTTTTCATCCAAATTAGTGTAGCATAGCTGACCTTCCAGTTCTCTATCTTTTGGGTGGCACAGGAACCTGCTTGATCTCTGACTTGAGGCAGAGTTTGCCTCCCAGTTGATGTCAAGGTAGTTAAAAGTCCCCCGTTACTATTGCAGTGTGTTTCCTGCACACCTCAGCAAAGACTTCCTCCAGGGGTGGGATACGGCAGGGTTAACTACCTGTTCGGGATTTACAAGCTTCCCTGCACGCTGTGAGCCGCGCGCCTGTAAATCGTCATCAGCATGCTGTGTGCAGAGTCGCAGCCTTTGAAACAGCCCTCTTTTCCTGCTTTTTTAAACTGCAGCTGTGCCTCGTTCGGCAGCTGAAGTTGAAAAATCAGGAAATAAAGATCCAGTAAGAGTCCAGGTGGGCAGGTGGGCAAAAACATCAATAGACATAGAACCGGTTCTATGTCTGCTACTCTTCAGAACTACCAGTTCTACAGAGATGGACAGAACCAGTAGAAACCCACCCCTGACTTCTTCCATTTCCTCTGCTTGGTTGGATGGTCTGTAGGATACACCTACGGCAATGTTGTTCCTTTTTCCTTTTCTATTCACCCAAATCCACTCAAGGGTTTTCTTTTTTTTCCTTTTGCGTTTCTGTATAGGTGTAGTTGTTTCTTTATACTGCATAATGCAAACCCACCTCCTCTTTTATTAGATTTTGTACAATATAAATCCTTCCAGCAGAACATTCCAGTCATGGGTTTCATTCCAAGGGTGGGCTTCAAAAATTTTAGCAATGGGTTCGCTGTCAGGTTGCTGGGTGGGCATGGCCATGGTGGGCGTGGCCTAGTTGGCCTTCTGCACCATGGCGGGGAGGTGCATTTTTTCCTCCCCGGACTCTGGAGTCTCTCCTCCAGCCTCCAGGGCAGCAAAAACGGCCTCCACAGGCTCTGGAGGCGCTCTGAAATCCAGAAACGGGCCCATTTCCAGCCTTACTGAACTTCCAGGCGGCCTGTTTTTGGCCCTTCCTGAGCCTCCATGCATGCCCTGCACTTACCTGCATCCATGTGGAGACTCCTGGGAGGGGCTGGGCGGGACCAGCCAGGAGTGGGATTTGGAGGGTTCTCCGAATTGTGCAGAATCTTAGCTAGAGGATCTCCCAAACCCCTGCGAAGCCCCATCAGCCCACCTCTGGTTTCATCCCACCAAGTTTTGGTGATGGCAATAATCTTGTATCTGCCCTCCTCTACTTGGGATTTCTAGTTTGTCCTGTTTGTTCCTCGTGCGTGTAGGCATCTGAGTCCTTTTTTGACTGGCCCTGCGTTTGCTTCCTACGTCTTCTGTTTTGTACCTGAGTTCCCCTGCTTTCATACCGCTTGGTCGATGGCCTTCAGGTTTACATTGGAGACCAGGTCCCAAAATTTGGGTTTCTTCTCCTCCAGTTTTAGTTTAAAGCCCTTCGGATAGGCCGAGCCCGTTGTTCTCCAAAAACATTCTTCCCAGTTCTGGTGAGGTTAGGCAAACGCCAGAAAACACTTGGTGCTGTGTTTTTGAAAATAACCTTCTGGGTTCACTGAAATTCCTCTTTGTAATCTGCACGCTCACTTTTGTTTCTAGTTTTTCAGAAGATGGAATCAAGTTCAGATACCAGCATGGTCCATTTTGCAAAAAACTACCGGGTAGTTTTACAGAAATTGTCTGTGAAAAGGAGGTGAGGAACGAGAAGGCGTCAACTTCAAATCTTAAGTCAAAGCAAGGAAACAGAAGCCACGTTCTCCTGGCAAACTTGGTCTCAAAACCAGGATGGTGGTGGTGCATCTGCAGGGGTGGACTTCAAAAATTTTTAGCAAAGAGTTCTCTGCCTGGTTGCTGGGTGGGTGTGGCCATGGTGGGCGTGGCCTAGTCAGCCTCCTGCACCACGGCAGGGAGGGGGGCGTTTTCACCCTCCCCAGGCTCCGGAGGCTTTTCTTGAGCCTCCAGAGAGCAAAAATGGCATTCCTGGGCTCCGTAGGCTCTCTGGAAGTCAGAAACAGGCCCATTTCTGGCCTTCCTGAACTCCTGGGCAGCCAGTTTTTCGCCGTCCCTGAGCCTCTGTGCGTGCCCTGCACTTACCTGCACCCAAAACGGGCTGGAGGGGGACTCCTAGGAGGGGAGGGGTGGGGTGGGCAAGGCCAGGGATTTGGAGGTTCTCCAAACTGCACAGAATCCTATCTAGGGGCTCTCCTGAACCCCTGCAAACCCCCAGCAGTCCAACCCTGGGAATTTGTCTCTGCACCACAGCCGGGGGAGGGGGGGCATGTAGCTCCCTCAAGTCCCCTAACCAATGTCAGCTCCAGTGGATCAGGAAGGGTAAGGAGCCAGCCATGGGGAGAGGGTGGCAGCCCTGAAGCGAAGCCAGAAGGAATAGTAAAGAATTAAGAACCTTCTGTCCCGACAGGCTGTCCGGAGCTGGAGAGAAGGACCCGCACACAAGTGACAGCAACAGTCCAGGTGAGGCACCAGTGGGTCAGGGTGTGGGTTCCTCCCTTGGATGATCACTGGCATGCTCACACAAGACACACACACAACACACTCACAGAGACTACTTTTCCAGGAAGTAGCACTCTGAATACTCCTTGAGAGTTTGTTTAACTAGTCCTGTCAGCCTCAAGATCTCTTCGGGTACCCTAACTGCTATCTATCTCATTTATCTCTCCCATATCCTACCTACTTTATCTTCTCTTCTGCTAGGCTTAATTCTTTCGGCTGTCATTAGCAACGGGGGGGGAGGGGTAATTGTGGGGGGAATAGTCCCCATTAAAAACAAGCTGACTGATAAAATAGCATTTGGGGTATTATTATTATTATTTGCGTGCAATAAAATGAAGAGCAGATCCACCGAAGTCCATAAGACCAGAATTTGTTATTACGGGCTTACTCACTCTTGGTCCTTACTCACTGTTTATTGAGTGACTGTTAGAAGCTAGGATAGCGCTCAAGAGGAGCCTTGCATCAAAGATGCAGCTGTTGCGGAAAGGGGCAGCCGTAATTTAATAGCACAGGGGCACAAAGGGCAGAGCACCGCTACTCCAGCTGGGTCCCAGTCTGCACCAGAACAGGGACAGGGCTGCCTTCGTTCTCTCCAGCTGCTTTCCAAAAGACAAACGCCTTGCAAGACCGCCTGAAGGGGGGTGTTTGATCCATGCAGCAAAGCAGTAAAAGCGGTCGCGGGGCGCACAAAGCTAACCCTGCCTGTCTCCCCCTCCCATCACAGAGAGATCCCTCCTGGAGTGTGACAGCAGAGCTCCCAGCCCACTGCTACCGCCCCACGACTCCTCCTACCCAGGCCGATCCATGCCGGAGAGAGGGATTCTGAGCCTGACCCCACCCAAGCAAGCCAGACGGACCCTTGCCCAGCGAGGTCAGTCTGCCGATCCCCAGCCCCGGCTCCTTCGAACCTGGGCAGCGGCCACTTATGGTCTTGGTGCGCTCAAGACCCAGGCAGGTGCTCAAAAGATCCGTCCATCACTAAGGACAAACATCTCCACTCCCTTTGCCCCACCGCAGGCAAGCAGCACAATGAAGCCAGCGAGAGAGAGAGGACGCGCTCCAACGAGGCCCCCCCAGGGGTCTTCACTTCCACGTCTGCCGGTACTGGTGGGAGGCAGAGCCCGCGGCATTGAGGCGTCTTCCTCCGAGCCAGCTGGACGAGCATCCGTAAAGGTACCAGTACTTACCAGGAGAGCGCCGTAGGCCTTGACACAAGGGGCTTACAGCCAGAGTCTCCCAGGGCAACCACAACCCTTCTGCTCCCCTCCTCGCCGGAGCCGAACCCATTTTTCTAAGCTTCTGAGCAGAGGTGGGTATTCAGCAGGTTCTAACCAGTTCTGGAGAACCGGAAGCGGAAATTTGGAGTAGTTTGGGGAACCAACAAATCCCACCTCTGACTGGCCCCGCCAACCCCATCTCTTCTCTGCCTCCCATTGAGTCCCAGCTGATCGGCTGGGTCTCCTTTGGTTGCCCTGCACAGGAGAACGGAGCTGGGAAGCAGGTTAGTATGGTGGGGAGGGGATGGAGATTTTTCAGTATCCTTCCGCTGCCATGCCCACCAAGCCACACTCACAGAACTGGTAGTAATAATAATTTGAATCCCACCACGGCTTCTGAGACAAGCTTAAAAATGAAGGCCTTAAAACGGGACCGCTCATCACAGGCGTGATTGTTATCGACACGGAGGTCTGAATATACTAAGCTCCAACTTAGGGAAGGAAGGAACCAGTGGTGGTATTCAACTGGTTTGGCCCGGTTCTGGCGAGCCGGTAGCAGCGGTGAGCAGCGGAGACCGAACGGTTCTCTCCGCCGCTTTGCTGTTGGGTCCACCCGCCTACCTGGGCTCCCATACTCAACTTTTATCTGCTGAACTTGAAGCGCAGCTGCTTTGTGTGGCACAGAATAGCGCAGCGCAGCGGCAGCTTCTGAAGCAACCGCGATCGTGCAAGCTTGCGGGAGGCGAGTTGGAACGCCTCTGCAGCTGCCCGCAAAGTGCCCGTTTGGTGCGTACGTGCACGCAACGTGTATACACGTGTGCAAAGTGTGCCCACCTAGCCACGCCCACCGAACCAGGGGCAAAAAATATTTGAATCCCAGCACCGGGAGGAACAGGTAAGGGGGTTGGACTCCGGATTGCAGTAGTCATAATATTCTGAAACCCCTTTCCTTGTGCTCAGCTGACAGGTGAGGCCATAGGACCCTCAGCTCCAAAGTGGAAGTGGGGGGAGCCTGGCCAGAGAGGAGCGCTGCCTTGGGAAGCCTCTGCCTGCCTCCACGCTCCACCATCGGTGGCTGATCTCAGCAAACGGCTGCAGCGCCAGCCCTGCGGGTGGCCGAGAAGGCTGAGGCTGCCCTCCGAGGACATTGCTGGCCTGGTGCTTGAAGGAGTCTGTTGCCCAAGTGAACCCTCCGACGCATTCCGGCCATGGGGTGAGAAGCCTGAAGACACGCCCCCTCCCTCCAAAGAAGCCCCCGCTAGAAACGGCAGGGCTGCTCAATTCTTTTCCGGGACAGTTTCCAAGTCAGTGAAG